GCGTTTAAGAATAAGAAATTAGATGGAATTAATTGCAATATATATATTAAATATTGAACCCTTTCGTTCAAAGGGAAGTTTTTAACTCACACTAAGCCATTGAGTAAGACCTCCCAATTTCTCTCAAACATATATTGATTTACTCTACTTATGATTTTCTTCTACTAATGTCTTTCCCTGAAAACTCTCCTGATCCAAACGTCGACGCCATGTCGATGCCGCTGCTTCCTCCAACTAGAGCGGATAGTCCGTTACTTGAACCATTTCCATTACCAACCGCTCTACCTAATCCGAGGAAGTCTAATGTCGTTTGTTTCGGACCAAACACGGATGAGTTCCCCATCATCAGCTCTTTTAAACCCGAGCTGCTTTCGCCGCCGCAAGGCAGTCCTAATCCTAGTCCTTGAGGGACTATAGCGTCCATAGAAGATGAAGTTGATGAAACTATCCCTAATCCACGGAGCAATGAACCACCTGAAGAAGCTGCTCCCATTTGAGCTGCTTTTTGAAGTAATGCGGTTGCTGACATCGCGGGATGAGCTTGGAATAGAGTTGACCCGAGAAAGGATGATCCATGACTTGTTGAGAGACCCAAAGATATAGGTTCGATGGACGAAGATGGCGCGAATAGACTCTGCGAAGAAGATGATGTTGTGTATATACTTGGAGAAGCCGAGGAAGATTCAAATAAGCCTGCGAAAACACCATTGCGTGTAACATTTAAACTCGTTGGCTTTGGAGCTTCTTGAACGATATCAGGAGGGGTCTTTGGAGATTCTGTATAAATCATAAGTCGTCGTTAACATAAAGTTTGATACTTTCCAATTCAAAAAAAAATTATGTAAAAAGCAAAATAATCATATTTTTGAATTCTTTATCATAAAGAACCAATCAGCCATTGAACAACAACTACTAAACTTACCAAACGAATTATGTTCTTAATCAGGTAACAGATAAAAATAATACAGCACTACGGACAAGAGAAAACACCTAACTAAACTCCAACTTCACCGACCATTAAACAAAGATTACTTTACAATCTTCATTTTCAGCTAAAAACAAAGAAATGTAGCGACAAAAAAAGTATGATCCAAAACACCCAATCTTGAACTGTTACAAGAGAGTGTTTACCTGATTGCTTAATAGTTGAAGCCGAGGAAGATTTGATCTTAGCAGACTCAGTATCCATCGGAGCAGGATTCGGATCCGGTACCGGTTTTTTCCGGGTCAAAATTTCAGGACTCTGTTTCTTACTGTGACTATGATGAGTAGTACTACCTCTCGCACTTTCTTCAGCCAAAGCATCACAAAAAGCTCTATGCGTTATAAAACTATCCCTCCTGCAAGAACACAAAAGTTAGATTGAATTTATGTGTTTTTTTGACAATACGTTTGATCAAGAAAGAAAACAAAAGTTGGAAACTTTACCTAGAAAACAGAGTACCACAATCACATTTATACTCTTTAGTACCACAAATCTTGGAGTGAGCTTTCCAATCAGACTGAACAGCGTATTTCTTGGAACATTTGTCACATTTCCACTTCTTCTCACCGTGTTTCCGACAAAAGTGTTTCTTGATCCCAGTTAGATCTCCTAAAGCACGTGAAGGGTCGTGATGAACACAGCTGAGCTCAGGGCAAACGTAGACTTTTTTCCTCACTTCTTTACTCGATTTCTGTCTAAGCTTCCATGGTAGATTGTGACCACGACGATGAAGCTGAAGATTCTGGTCTCTTTGAAACCCTTTGTTACAGATTTCGCAAACGAATCTGTTCGTAGCTAGTAGAGTTTTTGGTGACAACGCTATAACTTCTGACTCTGGATCTGAAACTCCAAAAAAAGAACAAAACTTTAACAAGACAAAATTTGTAAACTTTGAGTTGTAAATGATAAAGTTTGGGTTTTTTGTTTTTAATTACCAGGCATGCCGGGGAGGTTACGTTTCTTCTTTCCGGTGGGTTTAACGGCGGGATTAGGAAGTGGGTTTTGGTTTCCGGTGGAGGAGACTGAAACACTTGCTTCACCGGAGACAGTAGAGGAGTTATCTAAATCTATCGGCATCTTTTTCTAAAAAACCAAAACAAAAATCTCACTTTTGTTTTGATTTCTTAAATAAATGAAAAAAAGTTTATAACGAATGAATGAATGATAAAAAAAAAATGAAATAAATGAAAGTTTTTGTCAACCAAGTTTCAACCTTTACAGGTTTTTTTCAATTTTTACTTCTCTCTCTCTCTAATTTTCTATAATTCTCCTCCGTTGTTCTTCAGCTACCAGTCAATCAATCTGCTTTTCGTAAAAAATAAAAATCTCTCTTTTTTTTGGTACCTACTTTTTCTGATAACGAACGAATTAAAAATTTTAAAACAAAAACAAAAACTTTACATTATTAAAAATAATAATACACAAAACTTGTTTCTTAGATCTAATGGCTGAGAGTTCACCGGAGAGTTACGCCGTCGATCTGTTTTTTTATCGAAAGAGACAGTGATGAAATAAGGCTGCACAGGCTAGTGTGTGAGATTGTGGTGTTGAAAGAAAGAAAGAAAGCTACGACCATAACCTTTTTTTATGTTTATTGCGTTGTGTTTTTGGCTCTTTGGTTCTTCCGAGACAAAGGAGCCTTTTCCTTCTTCTTCTATTGGCACAATTATTTATTTATTTTTGTTGATTTTTAACTTTTCAACACTTTGGATATTATTATTTCTTTTTAAAATGGAACTTCAAAAAAAAAAAAACGGGAGCCATCTAAAAGAAATATTTTGTCGATCATTGTGGGGTTCGAGTGTTTTTTTTCCATCTATCTGATTTTGGACTCCCATGCATTATTAATACTTTTTAATAGTATAAAAGAAGGAGAAAAAAAAATCAATCTCATCGTCTTTCTCTTTCTATTAAGTATGAATATAACTATATATACTCCTTTGAATTTAGAAATGGGTAAGAAAAACTTATAAAGTTAGTAGATAAAGTAGTTTTTGTGTCAATGATTCTTCTTTCTTTATATCCCTATATGTATTCTTAATTAATGAATACAAATATCAGTTCATTCAATAATCATGTTTACATAATCAAGTTACTAATATTACCGTTGAGTTACTATGCGAATTCAAATTTTGGACTTGTATATGAAAAACTTGCAAGTAAAAAAAAAAAAGGAGGAGGAGGTAAAAAAGATTATTGTCGTTTTTGTCGATAAGCGAAGACAGTGGAGGGTTTACCGTCACGTTGTCGGGAAAAAATCATCTCAGTTAAAAAGAAAGAAAATGTAAATTTTCCATAATTGTCTATAAAACAAGAAAATAGAAGATAAACAATTTAGGAAATTTTTATAACTACGGTTGGTTTTTTTTGTCGTGTATCGATTCGATCGATGTCTACCAAAATTATTTTTCTTCTCGGTGATCTTTTAACTTCTGATGATGATTATCAATGCTTAGCTATATTACACATTTAATGCAGTTCATCGCGTTGTTTCTTGACTTTGACCTTTTAGTATATGTATCTACAAACACTACATGACTTCTATTTTTTTGTATATTAAGTGTATGAGGTGCTGAGATAGTGATCGATGTCGCCGCCATGTGTGTAACGTTAAGTGTATGAGTTTATGAGTTCAATGCGATACACTCGAACCAGATAACACAACTTTTTTTACAATGGTTATCAGATAATTAAGATCGTATTTTCAATTTTTTATAATTGTTTATTTTAAAACTTTTATGAGTTATACATAGTAAACAAGATTATTTTAGGCATGAAAAGGGTCCCTCGAGAATCCAGAACACTATTTAGCCAGCTTATACAATTCCATTTCCTACAAATATAAAGTTTCAGCACTATCTAGCAATCATGTTAAAGAAATAAAACTATTGATATTGATTTTGCTATAGATGCAAATGCATATTTTTAAAGCGATATTCCAAACTACACTACAGTACTTAGAGAATAGGTGATAAGCAAAAAAATATTGCATGCATGGACCTGATCAATTTTTCCTTTTGCATGCATGGATCTTGTTGGGCCAAAAGCTTGATATCTCGAAATAGGCCCATTTATATTGTAAGTTTTTATTGTTTGTATTTGTGTTCGATGTTTCATGTGTTCGGGATATCCCGAGCTAAACTTAACAAAAATTATAAAACTCATGAAATAGATACAAATAAGTCCACATTTGTGATACAAATAATACAATTATATTTATCTATATGTGTTCAATTACTACCGTAACATCATTTATATTTACAATTTCAAATCTTAGAAGATATAACAATTTGTGTTGTACTACAGATCATAATCTAGTTCGATATATTATTATCGTTATGTAGTTTATTAGGACAATAATTTATAAATGTCAAACAGAGTTAAAATCATACTACATACAACTAAACTATACCTACTCTTGTCATTTATCAATGCCAAGATTCAAACTCACATATAGATGTTGACTAGGTTCAAAAAAACTCTTTTCCTAGTACTTTCTTCTTTCTTTCGAATTATTATTTTTCCTTTACATTTCAATAGACAATTACATATATATATACGCAAGTTACAAAATGCTTTCTCTAAATTTGTTTCTTAGTCTAACTAAGTATTTAATAAAACCAAAACACAAAACATAAATAACATGTTTTACAGATCGCACTAGTAGATTTGAAAATTCATCTTTGAATGAAAGAAAGAAAGAAAAAAAACGATAATGGCGTTTTTGGTAAATATGTCAAACAAAAGGGTCCACAATTAGTTGCACAAAACAGAGACGTGTCGAACTTTTTCTACACAACCAAAAAAACAAAACTATTTCAATCTACACCTTCCGTTTCGCCACGTCATCGATCCTTCACATCTCAATCCAACGGTTATCAACGCGTTTTGATAACTCGCACAATAATTCTACAAAACCACCCACCCGTCTCCCATCTTTTTGACCCGACCCGACCCGACCCGGGTTTCTCAATCAATTAAGAAGAGAGCCCAAACAAAATGTTAGGTTTTCGTCTTCCTCACGAGGTTTTAGTGGCGACTGGGTGGTGACCGTACAAATTAGGGTTTCGGTTTTCAAAAGAGGGGCTTTTCTGCTTTTTCTCGATTCTCTGTTCTCTTAATCAAACTCTTACGCTTCATCGAGATTTCGCTGTTTTTTTACCTTTTTCGCTGTGTTGTGAAACCTTCTTCTCCGCGAGTTTCGATAGCTGCTGTGTTCTCTGTTTCAGAGAGAGGGAGGTGAATACGTTTACATCGCGGTGTGCTGTGAGCTATTTGAAAGGTGGGTTTGGTTTTATTTTTGTTTGATGGATGAGATTTGGGAAAGAGCTGTGGAAGCGGCTCTAGATGGTCAAACGGATAGGTTAGCTACACGGACGCTAACACTTGATGGTGCTGTGAAATGCGTTCAGGGACGTTTACCACCGCCTAGTGTTCTCGAGAGGTTTCAGAATCTTCAGCATCTTTCTGTAGCTAACATCGGTGTTTCTTCGCTTGAGCAGTTCCCAAAGCTTGGTAATCTACAGAAGCTGATCTTATCTGATAATCGGATCACTGTGGGTTTGGAGTTTCTCGTTGAAGCTGGGCTTGATTCGCTCCGTGATTTGGATTTGTCCAATAACCGGATCCAGTTTGTTGAGGATCTAGCTCCTTTGGCTGAGCTGAAGCTTGTCTCTCTTGATCTGTATGAGTGTCCTGTGACTAGGGTTAAGGATTATCGATCTAGGGTTTTTGGGTTGATTAAAACTTTGAAGTATTTAGATAAGACGGATGCTGAAGGGAATGAGAGGCCTGAATCTGATGATGAAGATGATGAGGAAGATGAGGAGGATGAAGAGGAGGAGGAGGAAGGTGACGAGGAGGATCCTGGAAGTGGAGAGATTGATGGAGATGAGAGAACAGAAGCTCCTTGGATGAGTAATGGCCATAGTGAAAGGCTAGATGGGGTTGTGGATGTTGATGAGGATGAAGAGAGTGATGCAGAGGATGATGAGTCAGAGCAGGCTGCTGGAGTGAATGGGACGAGTTATCGGCCTAATGGATTCCGTCTTCAAGCTGTAAATGGGGAAGAAGTTGGGGAAGATGATGGGGATGATAGTGAGTCTGGGGAGGAGATTGATGAGGAGGAAGTAGGGGAAGATAATGATGTAGTTGAGGTGCATGAAATTGAAGATAGTGATAATGAGGAAGATGGGGTTGATGATGAAGAAGATGACGAAGAGGATGAGGAGGAAGAGGAAGTTGATAATGCTGATCGTGGTCTTGGTGGGTCAGGGACTACAGGCAGGTTGATGAACGCAGGAGAGATTGATGGGCATGAGCAAGGAGATGATGATGAAGATGGTGATGGAGAGACTGGGGAAGATGACCAAGGGGTTGAGGATGATGGGGAGTTTGGGGATGAAGATGATGATGGTGAAGATGAGGTGAGATACTTGGTACTTGCAAATGTTTTGCACTTTGATATATGAACTTGGGTTTCACTAATTTTTTCTTGTTCTTTTCAACTGATTCGTAGTTCTGCAGATTGGTTCTTGATAGACTTGCCATTCATTTTGCAATTATGCCTGAGTTCACTTTCCTGCTGCCATTAGTAGATTGATGTTAAAACTTTGGTGATTGGTAGTGGACATTTAAGATGGTACTTTAGGATCAATCTATAGTTCCTGCTGGTTTAGAATATCAGTCCTGTCTTGCATTGGGTTGTTTGCTGCATTAAATATCAGGTTAGATTTACAGTGAACCATGTCGTATTAGCATAAAGTACCAGGTTAGGTTTACAGTAAACCCTGTTGTGTTATGTAAAGAAAATCAAAGCCAAAGTTGACCCTATTTTATGCTAGAATGTTTCCAAGCGTAAATTTCTGATTTGTCAAATTCTTGCTTATGTGTTTAGTGCTAACTTAGAGTTTGATGATTTTGATAGGATGAAGAATCAGGTGAAGGGTACCTTGTTCAGCCAGTGTCTCAAGTAGAGGATCATGATGTTGTGGGTAGTGACATTGAGCCAATCAATGAGGACATCGATCCGGATGAAGAAGAAGAAGTTGAAAATGACCTGCCAATCCCTGACCAGTCCTTGCCATCATCATCTCGCTCAAAGAGAAAACGAGATGATGATGATGATGGTGAGGATGATGATGATGACGATGATGATGATGACGACGATGATGATGGTGTTGACGATGAGGAAGGCTGAACAGGACACATATTATTACAGATCAGAATCTCTAGTTTGCTGAGTATTAGATGGAGAAGAAGCTCTGCCCCTTCTGGAATAGGGCGGCTATATCTGAATGTTCAAAATGTCAGTTATGGTCAGGCTGGTGCATTTTCAAATGACGGTTACTCAGCTTGGATTTACCGCCCTTTTAGAAACCCCACTTTATGGAGGGAAAGAAAAAACAACAAAAACTAGAAAAAAAAAAAGAGACCAAAGGAAGAGAGTTTGGGAGACCTTGTTTCTCTGTTAGAGGGTCTTGTAAGATGCTTATGTGGATAAATCTTTTGAGTTATATCAGTCTTTTGTTTTACATCCATTAGACCATTACACTTACACTTGTCGTACAATGATTGGTCAGGATGGTTTTGCTAGGATTGTCGTAGTGTGTGTGATGATGCATTAAGATCAAACGGTCGTCAAGGCTTCCTTAAAAGCTTATGTAGAGAATTTTGCTATTTTGTGTGGTAACTGGGGAGAGTTCAGAATCCAATCTTTCTCACACTCTTACCTTCTCTCTCTCTCTCTCTTAAAATGCTTCTAGTATCTCCGATCTCTGCCTCTCTACCTCCGTCATTGTACCGAGGAAATTTAATCCGGCGATCAATTAAGCCGTCATGTAGGGGAGTCGTAGCAAAGGCCAAGGACAATACTGACTCTGGTGGATTTTTGGAGACGGCAGCTGTAGCCGGTGGTTTAGTGTCGACGCCGGTTATCGGATGGTCCCTCTACACTCTGAAGACCACGGGGTGTGGCTTACCTCCAGGACCGGCTGGTTCAATCGGAGCGTTGGAAGGTGTGAGCTACTTGGTGGTGGTTGGCATCGTTGGTTGGTCTCTCTACACTAAAACAAAAACCGGGTCGGGTCTGCCAAATGGGCCGTATGGTTTGTTGGGCGCTGTGGAAGGATTGTCGTATCTGTCGGTTCTAGCCATTCTTGTGGTGTTCGGTCTTCAGTTCTTGGGTAATGGGTCGATTCCTGGTCCACTTCCTAGTGACCAGTGTTTTGGTTAGCCACGTGTAATGTCGTATAAACAAAGTGTCAATTAATAATTTTTATCAGAAGTCACATTCGATTCAATATCCGGTCCGGTTTGAATAAATCGTTGATCGAAACCAAGTGTAAACCAATTACTAACTAATCAACACACTACACATAACAGAAAATGAATTCCCCAAGTTCCTAAATAGTTTTTTTGCCTTAGCTAATACAGTAAAACCTCTATAAATTAATAATGTTGGTACCATGAAAATCTATTAATTTATAGAGGTTTTAATTTATCGATAAATTAAAAATTATTAATTTATAGAGACATTTTCCTAATTTGGAAAGTTTTTCAAAAAATATTTAAAACTAAGATTAAATCATGATAATAAGTATTTTATATAATCAATTACAAAGAAAATAATAATTATTATCCTTTGAAAGACATGCTAAAAATTTTTGATATAGTAAAATATTAAAAATAAACTCTAACAAAAACTAATGTGTCTATATATACATATATTTTGAAAATTTTACCTAATTATTAATTTATAATATTGATGGGACCATATATTTATAAAAGATTTTTTAAAAAAATATTATTTTATTATTTTATTAAAACGTGTCTAAAATTATACTGGTCCCAACTTGGGACCGGAGAAATTTATTAATTTATAGAGATTATTAATTTATCGATTATTAATTTATAGAGGTTTTACTGTAGATGTGATTACATGATCACACCTAAGGAACATTTAAGGCTAAACAAGATAAATAAATTACAAAGCAACAATATTAGTTTTAACATTCATTAAAAGGTTTTGAAACGACGAACATAACCACATTATATTACATATATTTGCTTTAACTTTTAACATACTTTCATATTCAGAAGTCATTAAATATCCGGTCCGGTTTGAATCGTTGATCGAAACCAAGTGTAAACCAATTACTAACTAATCAGCTAATATGAATTCCCCAGTTAGCTAATAGATGTGATTACATGATAACATCTAAATAAATTACAAAGCAACAATATTAGTTTTAACATTCATCAAAAGAATTTGAAACATTGAACATTACCACATTATATTACATATATTTGTCTTAACTTTTAACATACATTCATATTCAGTTAGAGAAACAACTAACTAATTCAGTTTTTTTTATAACAATCCGTTTAGCATTTTATAAATAACAGTATGAAAAGGTAGTAATATAAAATATTTATTCTTAAGCGTAACAAGTTTCTGGAAGTGAAGAACTAGTTTTTGTTCTCAACTTGGTTAATTGTTTTAATTACATTCTCATGTTATGTATTATTATTTATTTTAATTTTTTTGATTTATTCAGTTGATTGTGTGCTTTTCTCTTATAGATTTTAAAAACATTAGAAGCATAAGAAGCGATGTCAAAAATGTGGTTTAAGCATTAATTATGCTTTAGAATTCCATATCTTTTGCTAATTTATTGCATATACAAATTTCTTCTTTCCTTTTTAATGAAATTGAGTATGGAATCATTTAATTGCAGATAAAATAAGAGATGGTGATTATTACTCCATTTCTACAAGTTTTTCTTCACACTTCTAAACATTTTACATCCATCTCTAGTATTTTAGCTAACAAAATTTATACACAACAATTACAACAAAAAAAGAAGTTAGAGAAACATGATTGTTACTCAATCATGAATTTAAATTTAACCATCTATGTATCATAATCTTGATAATTTTGAAATTTTATAAAATTTTCAGAATTAATGTGTGTGGATTATTTGTAAAATATTTGAGATTATATTTCGAATAGTTTTTGATAGAGGTGTCAGAGTTCAGGTTGGTCAAGGCCTTAGCGACATACGACAAGATGTACGTAGAAGCACAGCTCCCATGACCGATGAAGAAAGTTAGAAAGGTCTCTGTAGAAAACAAACTCATTGATCAAAGTAGACACTTCAGTCTCGAGACAACATCCCAAATAGCTTGACAACGTTTATGTGGTTAATATATATTATCTGGGAGAGGATATCACAACTTCGTAATTAAAATAGCTTAACTATTAGTTAGTTTTCAGATTTTGTATTTATAATGCTCTGAGTTATAAAGTATGGTTTGTTACTAACAAAATAATTAAATTTTTAATTATTAAATACTTTATGCTATGTGTTAGTTCATGTGAACAACTTAAATTTAATGTTTGGAAAACATAGTAATTTTTTTCATTTCTTATCATCATTCATATAATTTTTTTTAACTTCGAATGCTCATAAACCTAGTAAATTCTTAAATATAAGTTTCATGTTATAAGCTCAATCAATCATCTAAGACCACCACATGTATAGATTTTACAGCGCCATGTTAGAGAGAGTTTGTTCACTTCACTTGAAGCACAAAACTGATTTTTTAATTTTACTCTCAAGGCTTTTACGTAATATATGCTGATGTAACAATGTTTTAAAAAGCTGTGTTTGAATTAAACGTACATTTCTCATCCAAAATCTCAATATGAATGACAAACTCACAAAACAATAAAAAAATATAAAGAATTCTTAACCTTGTTACATATCAAACAAGTTGTTTGAAACAACAGTAAGTGGAGAACTCTCTTGTTCAGTAAGAGGGTTTGAGTGTGAGCGCTTATGCCAACACAGCGTCGTTTTGACATTCATTATCTAGCAGATCTCTTCCACCCGGTTTTTCAATAACCAAAATCCGGTTTAGGAATTATTTGGGTTTTGTTAAATATTGTTTGATTGTCTCTGCAAATCCTCCATCCGCTTCCACCACCTGCAAAAAACCCTAGCAGAGCTCCGAGATCTCTTTTCGCCATGGGAGACTCCGGTGATCCTTTTATGCGTATCCAAAACGCCGCCGTTCAGGCGCGCCCTAAAGCTCAGAACAGAGCCAGTGTTCTTCAGCTCAAGCTGGTTCGTCTCTTATCTCAAATTCGCTGAATCCGTGATTTACTCTTGTTAATTTACTCCTTCTCTGTAGATTTTAGTATTCGTTGTCTTCTAGGTCTATCTAATGGGTCTACTTCTTCAATTGTATACTCAACTCGTTTGATACTTGCTTCGGTTCTATATTCGATTGCTCTGTACCACTTGGGTATCTTGGTTATATGATTGATTGTATTGATCTTGAGTTTGTAACCAGTCTGATACTCTGATTGATGTAAGGCTTGATCAGGGAAGATTTCTTGTTGCTTTAGTGTGGGTATATAATTGTGTCCCTTATGTATTGCAGATGGGTCAAAGCCACCCTACTGGCTTAACAAACAATCTCTTAAAACTATTTGAGCCACGTCCGCCATTGGAGTACAAACCACCACCGGAGAAGAGAAAGTGCCCGCCTTATACAGGTCTGAACTTGTCTATCTTGTTGTGTTTTAACTTTATTATCACAAGCTCTAGATTTGATTTTGTCTTGTGCATTCATTTTAGGTATGGCTCAGTTTGTGAGTAACTTTGCTAAGCCTGGGGATCCAGAATACGCTCCACCTAAGCCAGAAGTTGAATTACCTGTATGATCCACATTGAATTGTTTTAATTATGCCAGCTTTTACTGAATTCAGTTTCTTATAGTCGTGTGTTTTTTATTAACGGTCCAGTCACAGAAAAGGGAGCGAATTCATAAACTACGACTGGAGAAAGGTGTCGAAAAGGCTGCTGAGGACTTGAAGAAATGTAATCTACTATATGTTTCCATTTAAAGCCCTCTTAGGTTTGAGGATTCCAAGTTAATTAGAATTTTTGTTTGCAGACGACCCTAGTAATGATCCAAATGCCACTGGAGATCCATACAAGACATTGTTCGTTTCAAGACTTGTAAGTTCTGCTTCTTATTTCTTTTGTTGAATGACTTTTGCAAGACAGTTGATTTATAGTTTGCTTAACTTTAGTCTGTATCGTCTTGCAGAACTACGAATCCTCTGAGAGTAAGATTAAAAGGGAGTTTGAATCTTATGGACCAATTAAACGGGTAAGTTATTCTGAGCATTTCCTTGCGGGTTCGGTAAGAGTTTGTAATAAATGGTTCCTTCTCTCGAGCTCTTTGCTCAATAAGTTAAGTTTTATGAACAGAAGTCGTCAAGGCTATAAATTTTCAGTCCCTTATAAGCTTGCATCTTTTGTGCTATATCCAAAATGCCATTCTACTTTTGAATTAATGTGCATGCCTTCTTTAGACCGTGTAATTTGTAAAGCCATCAAGTCGTTTAGAATTTCTCAAATGACTGAATATGCATCTCGTATAATGTCACAAACCTTTATCCTAGGTGTTTGCTTGAGATGTTTTTGGCGCACAACCTGGTATACTTGCTTTTATTTCCTTGTCCCATTAGTGAACAAATACACTATCCTTTTACTATGATATAGAGGTTGTAGGCCCATGGTTTACCTAGTCAATTAGGTTTTTTGTTTCAGAATCTGTAATGACCTCAACTCATCCTGGTAAGTAAATTATAATATTTTCGTCCATCTTCCAAAGCCATTCTGTTCCAAAGAAAATGCTTCATCCTGCAAAGGAGGCAGTGTATGTAAGCTCTTTATTTTCAAGCAACCAAGGTTATGCTCTTTACAGTGTTAATAGTTGGAGTCGTAAGTATCAGAAACCTTCTCCCTTCTCCTGTCTTTAAATCTATAAATATTCAGTATCTGGGACTTGGGCTACTAAGAAGGTGATCTGGTTCACTTTTTAATACATTTCTAGTTATCTAAGTTTCAATACCCTGGTAAGGGGTTGTTTATTAGACCCTTCAGAAATGGTAAATTTGCTGCAATTCATCCATTTTTCTGCCAATTCTTGATGTGGGTGGTGACATTCTCGGATTTGGACACAACATAAAGGTTGCCCTGCCTTATAGAGCTGCATGTTTGTTTGATTTTGAAACACGTTGATCTGAAAACTGATTTATTCTCACATGTTTTGATTTATTAATGTTCTCTTCTAAAACTTCTCAGGTTCATTTAGTGGCTGACAAGCTGACCAATAAACCCAAAGGATATGCTTTCATTGAGTACATGCACACCCGTGACATGAAAGGTCTGATCGTATCTGTTTTCTTTCGACCTTTTTACTTGTCTCCCTGAGATGTTTGCTCGTTTTTACTGATTTTTGCATTGTGTTTTGTTCTCTTCTCACAGCTGCATATAAACAAGCTGATGGACAAAAGATTGACGGTAGAAGAGTTTTGGTTGATGTCGAGAGAGGTAGAACTGTTCCAAACTGGCGTCCACGCAGGCTTGGCGGTGGACTTGGGACCTCAAGAGTCGGTGGTGGTGAAGACGTTGTTGGGGACCAACAACCACAAGGAAGAACCTCACAGTCAGAGGAGCCATCAAGACCACGGGAGGAGCGGTAAAGATATTTTTCATTTGTTCCAAACTATTTTGCCTTGTGACTGATATTGTATTGATAATGTTGTGGCCTTGTCTCCAGTGAGAAATCTCGGGAAAAGGGAAAAGAAAGGGAGCGAGAAAGGTCTCGTGAGCTGTCTCATGAACAACCTCGAGAGCGGTCTCGTGATAGGCCGAGAGAGGATAAGCATCACAGAGACCGGGACCAAGGAGGTAGAGACAGCAGACGTGATCGCGAACGGACACGTGATAGAGGAGACAGAGACCGCCGTGACCGTGACAGGGGACGGGATCGTTCTTCAAGGGATCATGACCGAGACCGTGGTAGAAAGAGGGAGCGAGATTATGAAGGAGGTGAATATGAGCACGAAGGTGGAGGTAGATCCCGTGAGAGGGATGCGGAGTATGACCGAGAGAAACGTGGGGAGCCAAAAGAGACTCGTGGCTACTATGAAGACGATCAAGTGGACACAGACCGATATGGCCATCGCTACGAGAAGATGGAGGAAGATGACTACAGATATGAGCGCGAGTACAAGCGGTCTGAGAGATCAGAGTCGCGTGAGTATGCTCGTTGATGATCCCCGCATGTTTAAAACCTTAAAACTTAAGAATCTTGTTTGTTTTTTACCTATGAATCAAACTTATGCAATTCTGTTTGTTATCTTTGAACTTATTTGCTAACTTTCATATGTTTTCGGATGATAAATTGATCAGTGAAAAATTGTTGAAACCCAATATAGATCTCTGAGCAAAATGGTAGACTCTGACTGCCACTGAGAGTCTGCTTTTTAGATTGATTAGTGATATCTCTGCTCTTTTCGCCATTGGCGTTTACAGGGACTAAGAAGTCTCTGTAACATTTTGTTTCTATCTTGTCGTTGTCGAGTAGAATCCACTCCCTTCATCAATGATTAAAACATCTAAAAAACGATTAAAAAATATAAAAATAGAAGATCTCAAACTCTACCTTATTATTACAATAAAAAAAGCTCCGATGCCGGGAATCGAACCCGGGTCTCCTGGGTGAAAGCCAGATATCCTAACCGCTGGACGACATCGGATCTTGTTAATAAAAATCTATTGTATTTATATAGTCTTTATATATCAATTCAAACAATAAAAATCTTGGTTTCTTTGTTCAAAAGAAAAGATTACTAAAACACAAAGTCAAAACACTTCGTGCTAAAGTACATATCTATTATATCAGCATAATAAATATTATTAATATTGTTACAATAATATACAAACAAACACAACACGTCTCTTGTTACTTAAGTTGGGACACATGCTCTCAAGGGTCGTATTCGTATAAATATCTATATGTATATAAAGAGCAAGCCAAATAATTTATTAGCTTCTTTACATTTTTCTTTGATTAATAATCATCTTCGTTTGTGTAATGTAATTCATCGCTCCTAGAGACCCAATCATTTGTGTAATTTTTTGTTTAACTTCGTAATGTTATATACATACATATACATGTTGATGATTCACACATCTTACATTTTTTTTTGTTAGGAATAACAAGTTATTATTATTATTTTTTTTGATCAAAAGGAATAACAAGTTATAACAACACATCATTGTGATAAAAATTGAAGACTTTTTAGTGATCCATTAACATTCATGAGCAGTAATAGTCGCAAACACATCTCAGCCCAACTGGTTTCATCTCTTAGCAAATTCTTATATAACAATATATAATAGTGTAACAATGACAATATATAATATAACGTGAAATCATGATAAGCATATACATATAGAATCGGTGGATAAAAACTAATAATGATAAACAAGAGAATGAAATCTGGAAAGGGACCAGAGCCGAAAGTAAAAGTGGGAATTTGCTATAATGTTAACTCCATGCGAAGCCTTAAGTAGAGGGTCCAACAAGCAACAAGCAACAACTCAACACTCTTCTCTTCTCTTCTTCTTTTTTAATTTTAATAAGAAGTCGTTTCATTTTTTATGTATAAAGTCGTTTTTTACTACAGTCAAATGCAAAAGCCATGATTTAAAATTGTTTCTTTTTCATAACAATCTAGAATTTGTCTTACTAATGTTTGCCATTAACCACACACACAATTAACTTTTTGTTGGTTAACATTTAGTTTTCTTTTTCACTTAATAGCATTTGCTTCATGGGGTTTCTATTTTAACGTTTAGCCTCCTCTTTCTATTCTTTATGTTTTTCCTCTACATGATTATGTTTTTTCTTGTTAATGTTTAATTACATAATTATGTTTTGTCTATAAAGAATGAGTAAATTGGTTCGTGTCGGGATAAAAAAATTTCAAGAAAGTATATATGTATTTATATGTAAATACCTTTACTAATGTTTATATTATTCACAAAACAAATTTCACATTGCGATATGTTTAGTTACAAATCCGTCGAAATTTTTTTTAACTGCACTCAATACTTTTTCTCAAAAATTAACATACACTATATACAATTCCTTCTCTTAGCATGTAATAAATATTTCGGAGTTACAAAAGAGAATTAGACTTATCATTTCAGTTTAATTATTCATGTAGCATAGCCATTTTAGCTAAAGCCTTTCTGAAATGGAGAAAGGTAAAGACAAAAAGTATATAAGGGAAAGAGTCAAACATTGCGAGCAAATGACTAGTTTCCAAAAAGTAGTGGGATGATATGATTCAAAGCATGAGAAAGTATTTGTAATACATAATTTATTATATCGAGCAAAGTAAAAAAAAATGAAAATTTGAAGGGAAAGAGAGCGATGTGTTGTTGGGTTGCGCTCGTGGGCAATGATTGAAATGCAATCATAACTTTTATAGGTGGATGTGGGGGAACCCCCATGCACCCCTTCTTCATGATCTTCACCTAAAATTTCTACTTCTGTAATCAGATTTAAACTTGACCATTGTCATATGTTTGTGTAAGTGATCTTGAAGTAAACTCACCTTTAAGAGCTAGGAGTGGTCATATATTGAAGTATTGAACGATAGCTAGAGGAGAAAAAATAATAATCTATGATTTCACTGTATTTACTGATTTTACTGATATAGCCGACTCCAATTTATGTTCATAACCTTGGTATAGACATTGGTATATTCTCAAATAGTACACTTGTTTCATTATCTACAAATAACCAGAGAATAAGATCATATATGAACGAATTTATGCTTTTTTCTACAACATTTTTGTTTTTGTTTTTGTCTTGCTAGGTAAAGAAATGGTTTATATAACATAGATGATGCATGCGTGCGTGTGGGTTGCATGAGAGAAAAGGGAAGAATCTGTGATGACAGAGATCGTAAAAATAAAATAAAAATGTTGGCATTAATTTAAGGTATATTTGTCGGTCGAGAGAACTCGAGGGAGGAGAATGCAAAGAAAAGCGAAAAATATGTGATTGGAATCAATCTAATCTCTAGATAGTAAAAGGACAAAAGAAAATCAAATAAAAGAAACGTACCTAACGAGTATTTGTATGATTGAGATTTTCTAATTTGTCACACTGATTTGATAGAGTGATAGAGATAGTGATGATCCCTATTCTTACTATGTCTTTTAGTTGTAGCCATCCATCTCTATCTCTCTTGTTCTGATCGACTCTTTAACTTTTTTGAGTTTAAGTCAACAAAAGTCAACTTTTGTTTAGTCTTATCGAATTTATGGGATCGTCGTCGACACACAAAATAATTGAATCCAAGATGATTTAGCAGTTACGTGCACCACTAGCTAGATTAATTGCGTTGTCTTTTTCTAAGTTTGGGCAATCAAATGACAAAAAAGAAATTTATATATCAAATTATGTACTAAATGCCAAAATAAACTTCAATAAAACTATTGAAAACACCTTTAATATGAGAAAACTATAACATATCTGTTATTTAATCTTCATATTTCTTTGTCAATGATGTAATGTTAAAACTATTCTTGTGTGATTGAACCGATGAATCTCTGTTTGTTGTAGAAATTAAACTATTTGGTAATTTGTGATTTTGAATTAATAGTTTGAACAGCTTAACTATAACAATTGAAACAAGATTTATTTAGTAGAAGCCGCATGCATGCACCACTAGACCGAGTCATTATATAAAAAATCAAGTCACTTAGATGGTCCTTTTTATTAGTCTTTTTGGTGTTTATAAAGTCAAATTACGCACACGTCAAAACACTTTTGGTCTAGAAATTGGTAACAAGTTAAAAACCAAATTAAAAGTTCAAGTTTCAAGCTGTCTGTTGTTGTAACTCGAATCAAGAACAAATATTATGTAGTGTAGCTGGTCAGGATATATTCGACTCGAGTTCTTTTTTTTTTTTGTCAACTAGAGACTCGAGTTCATGTACCGGCAAGAGAGAGAGTTAAAACTAGGGTTAGGATTATGATATTGCAACATAACTAAGAACCTTACTGTTACGTATAAAAGTTAAGAATATAGTTTTACGGGATAAACACTGAAAAAATTCGTAAACACTAGTAAAAGTTTAGTTATTAGGTGAAAATTTATGTTTTAATAATGGTAACGTGAAGATATAACTGCAGAAAATACGTTACACTTCTAAGTTTCTGATAAGAACAAAAGCATTTGCTATTATTAGAAAACACATCGCACCGTATGAAGGGTTTTGACTTATCATCGTGAGAGACAGCTAGCTGCTGTGGTGGGTTTAAGGAGAGATAAGAGAAGAGAAGAGAAGAGAAGTGAGGTCAGATCACAAACCAAAAAAGTTTTGGTTCTTCTTCTTCTTCTTCTTCACTAAAGTATTTTTGTTTTTTGTTCACAAAGTAGAGAGAGAGCTTAAAGGAAACGGTTGGTGAGAGCATTTATATGACAGCCCACTTCTCTTCGTTTCTTCTCGTCATATCACTTTCACTTCCCACACGTGTGACATGACACGTGTCAATCTCCCACCTCATGCATGCCCCATTACGGCAATCATTGGGCCGCCGTTACGTCCCCCCGCACCCGCACGAGTGCCTTCCCCTTGCCCTTTTTTTCTCCCATTTTTTCTTTTTTTTTTCTTTTTCTTCTTCTTTCTACAAAATACCTCACTATTATAAAATCTTACCTCATATCGACTAAATTAAACTACCTATCAGACAAAATCTAGATTATTTTCTTATCTTTGTAATGTAAAAGGCTGGTTTTCTTGTTCAATAAAAAAAAATACAAGTTGAAATCTTCAAAGCTACAATATATTAAGAAAATAGCATACTTTAAAATAATTATACAAGGAAATTGTTTAACATTAATTTACAAACCCAAAAGAAAACAAACACACACAAACAAAAAGCACAATTATAAGAAATTTTGTTTTAACATCATTTTACCTATATATAATGAAATTTTTTCTTTTTCTTGTGTTACTGAAATTTTAACCTATTATATATACATATATATATTTTTTGTAGTTGGTTGTTGATTAGTATTCACTCTATTTCGTCATATGTTTGGAGATTTTTGTTTGTTCTACAAAAATTAATATTCTACAAATTTTAATTAATTAATATTAGTATATTTGTAAATTAAAAACAAAAATCATCGATAAATTTGAATTTCATAATTGTTATCGACCTATAATTAGTTAATATTCTTTTATTCAGAAAAAATAGAATTATCTATTTTTTAAAATAGTAATCGTTGTTTTTAATTTGTGTAAAATTTTTTAAATATCAATCTTTTAGAAATACGAAAAATATATGATAAAGAGAAACTTGTAAAACTAAATATGGTTTGTTTGTGTACATATCATGAGAACG